AGGGAAAGAAAGGACTTTAATGTCAATGGATAATCAGAATAGAGCATCTCCAAATTCACCACCATTCCAAGGTAATATATGACTTTCCCGACGATCTCACTTTTGAGAAGTGGTTTTCACATACACACCCAGTAAGCAATTTGATAACAAATTGTTGCCAAATTGGCATCAAATTCGTTCAAAACTTGGTAACAAATCTAATGCCATCTGTGTCTGCATTAAGCTTGTGTTTTGGTGACAAAGCTTGCTAATATAACCTGACAGCAAATTGACGGCAAAAATCTAGCAAAGCTTGACATGATTTGACGTCAAATTGGCAAAAATCGAGCAAGATCTGCGCAGGACAATCTGACAGCAGATTGTCAGTAAAAACCGAACAAATTCTGCAGCTTTTGGCCATTCATATAAAATAGTATATTTAAATGGATTTAAAGTCTCAAACCCTAAGTAACAAAATGATGATAAGTTTTGGTCATAAAATGACCATTAGATAATTATACATTCTAAGTTAGGTCTCATGAGACCCAAAATATATCACATCTACGGGAGACCATTTTCTGACGTTCTTTTGATGGCAAAAATAAGACAAATTTCAGTATTGTTATATAAAATCATATATTAATGTGTTAAAACATATAGCTAAATTTTATAAAATTAAAAATCTTTTTGGACAGAAATTGTTCGAATAAGTGAAAATCGAACAATTATCTGTCCGATTTGCCAAAAATCAGTTCAATATCTGAATTTTCTGTATAAGAATTGTGTCAAAAATTGAACTGATAAAAATATATATATTATAATATTATTAGCATTTTGCAGGCTTTATATACACTCATGACAAGAATTTGAATACGGGTATAGATAATGAATAACGCGCCGCATAGCGATAAGCGACTGAACTATATATATACATATGCGTACGCATGATATGTTACGCGAGTCTTATGTTTGAAACACAAAGGCTGATTGTGTCTTGTCCGTGGTCTTGTCCGTTGTAGCGCGAGATTCGGCACGTAATTTTCCTTAATTTTCCTACGAGTAATCGAATCGAAGTAGAAGTGTCCGGACTTGTCCGATTGCTCCCGGTAATCCGTAATTTTTAAAGCGCTATTCGCCCAACTTTGCGCTTGTCTTACGTCCGAGCTACGTGGCAAAATTATCGTTCAGTTATCGTTCGAAGAAATGGATATTCTTTTGAAGAATTGGGGATTATCTCACCTTTATGATATTTTTTAAGATAAGTCTAATTTATTATTTCTTTTCAAGAAGTGAAAATTTCTTTATAACTATAACATTACCTCATATTATTATTTAACTAACCTCGGATATTTTCGTCCTACACATATCTCTTAAATCTTATCATTTGTTACAATAAACTGATAAAGTTTTGTAAAGTATAATATATAAAAAATAAATAAATATATAATTTATAATATAATTATATGAATACATAATAATTATATAATAATTATATATAATATTTATGGATTCATTAATGATTGCATTATCTTTGTATAACTCGTTTTTTATCTTATTCTAATTACTAAAGTCTAATATGTATTTGTGATTACACTTGACATTTTCTTATATTTTACATTGTACATTTCCTTCATGCAGCGAATGATATTAAAAGCATGGATGATTTGAGTGATCTTTTGAATGAATGTGTAACTCATCTGATTTTAATATATTGATCCCTAACATTCTAAATCGAATAAAACTTCGCAGACACTTTCATGAATACGTATGTTTCCTTATATTTTGCCTCTATTTCTTCATATTTTATAATTAAACTGATTCTAATTCTTATTATTTTTATATAGAACAGCAATAAGACATTCGATTTAGTTTATACAAGTTCCAATACAGAGAATGATATAAATAATGATATAAATAATTCAATTATTGTCGATTTAATAAATCTCCCAGAAAAAACTGAAAATACTGAAAATGTCGAAGATAGTGATTATCAAAGTGTGAATTCTTTAATCGAAAATAAAGAAAGACAACCGTGTGAACTACCTATAAAAAAAATAAAAAAAATAATCAGAACAGTAGAATTCGATTTAAAGGAAATATGATCAAAAACTGCTTTCGGTAATTATCTGGTGCTAATAAATGAACACGGAGGAAATATTACATCTCAATGCCAATCTATTTTATGTGATATAATTATATCATACTTTTTGAATTTAAATATCAGGTATATTTATTCTTTGTTAAAATATAATAATATTAACATAAAACAATAATTTTCATAAAATTGATAAATATATTTATATATTTATTGTTTTATTTGTGTAGATCTTATTAAATTTTTGAATTTTTTATTAACTTTTTTTATTTGTATTTGTTTTTTTTGTTTTAATTTTGTTTTTATTTTTTTTTATATTTTTTTATATTTACTGAGGTTTCTTTTTAAAATTAGGATCCAATAATTTATATTTACTGTATCTATATCGATATTTAACGTGTTAAATTTTATTCTTGTAAAGAACACTCCGAAACGAAGATTTTGCCAAAATTACAGAAGAAATAATCGAGTTATTTCCAAAAGAATGTAAAGAAACTTATTATATGCCACTTATACGAAAAAAATATTCGAGAAATGATAAATCTGGTATCTCAAGAGGAAAATTAGTCGATAAATATTGTAATTCATTAAAATTTATCCGTTCTGCTGAAAAACTGAAAAATAATAATCACATTGAACAAAATGTTGCCATTGTAAGCCAAGGTATTAATATTTTGTATTAAGATTAATAATGGAAATTTTGAAAAATATAAAACTAGTCCAATAAATGCTTACTTTTTTTATGCTTCTCAGCTGACGACCTACAAATTGCAGAACAAAATAGAATTTGGCTAATCCATAATCAGAAACCACAGGAAGAAGTTAATCAAAAATGGGATGCATCATATATATTACGCGTTGAGGATTGCGCTAGTAAAATATATAAAAATATTAACGATATATTTGTCAAGTGGCCTATATTAAAATTGGATTCTTCTTATGTATTGGTATATATCTTAAAATTATAAAAAAATAAGAAAAATTATATAATAAAAAGATTTCAATGTGTTATGTTGAACACAAACGAAATTACTGTTACTATAAACAATTATAAACAAAATACTATAATTTTCTGTATTGAAAACTTAATTTATTAAAAATGGGGTGCCAAGTTCACATATTGGGTTGAGTAAAAAGTCATTGCGTATTTTTTGTATGTTTTTCAAATTCATTTATTTATATAAAGAACAAAGATCAATCAATGATATATTTTCCGTTTTGTTCGATGACCTTTTGCCATCTTTCGGTGAGCTTCATAATTCCCCGTTCGTAGAAGGACCTGTCTTTATTGGCGAAGAACTGAACAAGGTGCTGATTTACCGCCTCATCTGAATTTAACGTTATTCCACGCAAGGAGTTTTGAAGAGAGCGAAACAAGTGGAAGTCTGACGGCGCAAGGTCAGGCGAGTATGCTGGGTGGGGCAACACATCCCATCCAAGCTCCAATAATTTTTGACGGGTCGCCAAAGATGTATGTGGTCTCGCGTTGTCGTGATGGAACACAACTCCTTTACGATTGACGAGCTCCGGACGTTTCTGGATGACAGATTCGTTCAAACTGTCCAATTGCCGACAGTACACATCCGAATTGATTGTTCGGTTCCTTGGTAGGAACTCAAAAAACACCACACCCTAACAATCCCACCACACTGAGAGCATAACCTCCCTCTGATGAAGTTCTGCTTTTGAAGTCATTTGAGGCGAATCATCACGCCGGGACCAAGACCGTTTGCGTTCCACATTGTTGTAAACAATCCACACATCACCAGTTATCATTTGTTTCAAAAAAGGATCGGTTTCTTCACGTTTCATGAGCATATCGCAGATGTTTATACGCGCCGTCAAATGAACTTCTTTGAGTTCATGAGGAATCCAAATATCGAGCTTGCTTACGTATCCCAGCTTCTTTAGGTGGACGTGAACACTTTTTTGACTGATCTTCAATGTTTCTGCAATCTCTCGTGTCGTGTAACGTGGGTTTGACTTGATCAATGCCTTTATTTTGTCGTCATCAACCTCGGTGGGCCTTCCTGACCGAGGAGCATCTTTGAGATCAAAATCACCAGCGCGGAATTTCTTGAACCAGTTTTGGCACTGACGTTCTTGTAGAGCATCGTCACCGTAAACTTTACGCAATTTTTCACAAGCTTGACGCGCGTTCTTCCCTTTACGGAAGTAAAACAGTAAAATATGTCGAAAATGCACAGTTTGGTCTTCCATCTTCAACTTGTTGTAAAATCTCCAAAACTCAACCAAATCGCTCAATTTTTTTTTAGAATGAAGCTTAAACCGTCAGCTGTTAAACGATATATGACAAACATATATGTGAATGACTCTAGTACTGCCAAAACTGAACTAATGCCATCTGTTGCAAAAATACGCAATGACTTTTTACTCAACCCAATAGATATAAATATTTCTATTTGTTCTTATAGATTGAAAGAAATTTTGATAGAAAATTCCCTGACTGTAAAAAACAATTAATGAAATCTTGGAACGTAAATTTTGAGAAATTTTTCAATTATCAGGTGATTGCATAAGTTCGTGCCCGATTTAAATATAAACTTCAATAGATTATATTTTAGAGATAACACTTTTATTAATCAATTATATAGTCTCCATTCTTTTCTACAATGGTTTTCCAACGATCTATAAGCTTGTCGATTCCATTTTTGAAGAAAGAACTTGTTTTTTCTTGAAAAAAGTTTGTAAGGTGGTTTTCGACAGCTTCCTCGGAATTGAGATTAACTCGTTTTTTATCTTATTTTAATTACTAAAGTCTAATATGTATTTATGATTACACTTGACATTTTCTTATATTTTACATTGTACATTTCCTTCATGCAGCGAATGATATTAAAAGCATGGATGATTTGTGATCTCTTTTGAATGAATGTAACTCATCTGATTTTAATATATTGATCCCTAACATTCTAAATCGAATAAAACTTCGCAGACACTTTCATGAATACGTATGTTTCCTTATATTTTGCCTCTATTTCTTCATATTTTATAATTAAACTGATTCTAATTCTTATTATTTTTATATAGAACAGCAATAAGACAGTCGATTTAATTTATACAAGTACCAATACAGAGAGTGATATAAATAATGATATAAATAATTCAATTATTGTCGATTTAATAAATCTTCCAGAAAAAAACTGAAAATGCTATTGTCATCGAAGATAGTGATTACCAAAGTGTGAATTCTTTAATCGAAAATAAAGAAAGACAACCGTGTGAACTACCTATAAAAAAAATAAAACCCAATATCAGAACAGTAGAATTCGATTTAAAGGAAATATGATCAAAAACTGCTTTCGGTAATTATCTGGTGCTAATAAATGAACACGGAGGAAATATTACATCTCAATGCCAATCTATTTTATGTGATATAATTATATCATACTTTTTGAATTTAAATATCAGGTATATTTATTCTTTGTTAAAATATAATAATATTAACATAAAACAATAATTTTCATAAAATTGATAAATATATTTATATATTTATTGTTTTATTTGTGTAGATCTTATTAAATTTTTGAATTTTTTATTAACTTTTTTTATTTGTATTTGTTTTTTTTGTTTTAATTTTGTTTTTATTTTTTTTTATATTTTTTTATATTTACTGAGGTTTCTTTTTAAAATTAGGATCCAATAATTTATATTTACTGTATCTATATCGATATTTAACGTGTTAAATTTTATTCTTGTAAAGAACACTCCGAAACGAAGATTTTGCCAAAATTACAGAAGAAATAATCGAGTTATTTCCAAAAGAATGTAAAGAAACTTATTATATGCCACTTATACGAAAAAAATATTCGAGAAATGATAAATCTGGTATCTCAAGAGGAAAATTAGTCGATAAATATTGTAATTCATTAAAATTTATCCGTTCTGCTGAAAAACTGAAAAATAATAATCACATTGAACAAAATGTTGCCATTGTAAGCCAAGGTATTAATATTTTGTATTAAGATTAATAATGGAAATTTTGAAAAATATAAAACTAGTCCAATAAATGCTTACTTTTTTTATGCTTCTCAGCTGACGACCTACAAATTGCAGAACAAAATAGAATTTGGCTAATCCATAATCAGAAACCACAGGAAGAAGTTAATCAAAAATGGGATGCATCATATATATTACGCGTTGAGGATTGCGCTAGTAAAATATATAAAAATATTAACGATATATTTGTCAAGTGGCCTATATTAAAATTGGATTCTTCTTATGTATTGGTATATATCTTAAAATTATAAAAAAATAAGAAAAATTATATAATAAAAAGATTTCAATGTGTTATGTTGAACACAAACGAAATTACTGTTACTATAAACAATTATAAACAAAATACTATAATTTTCTGTATTGAAAACTTAATTTATTAAAAATGGGGTGCCAAGTTCACATAGATATAAATATTTCTATTTGTTCTTATAGATTGAAAGAGATTTTGATAGAAAATTCCCTGACTGTAAAGAACAATTAATGAAATCTTGGAACGTAAATTTTGAGAAATTTTTCAATTATTTTAAAAAAAGTCTATCTACTGGCGATAGCATTTATGAAACTTTAATGAATGCACAGTCTCTAAAATTGGGTGAATATTCCTGCATTACAAATTTTATCTTAATTTATAATATGCAAGTAATATGAACAATATTCTATTAAAACATTATATCTATTAATTTCTTTGTAGATTCGAAAACGGCTCTTGAAATATGGCTTTTAACAAGTGTTGTAGCCCCTAAGTCAAATAAAATTACTTTTAAAATTGAAAATGTTTGGTCGAGGATGTAAATTCTCGTCCGTAGCGATAGTTCGATTATTATTGTTAAACTGCGACAGCGATATAGCAACAAAATGACACGGGAGGTCATTCAACGAATAGACTGTGATGTTAATTCATGCAAAAAAAAAAGGGCGACTCACCATGTGCTGCGGCGACTCCGGAAGTGGTCCTTGGATGCACCATCAATCGACTTCGGAATGCTCAGGCATGCATGCAATTAGCCGCTGCAAGGTAAAGCGTGCAAGCGTGCAACCCCGTAAGCGTCAAGCACTGTACAATCGTAATACGTCCAACTACTGAGAAGTATAGACGGCGAGTGCCGTATCTGCAAAAGAAGCACGCGGCAGTCTCATGCTCCCCAAAATATGCTCGGTGGTTGATGGATGGCAGCACGTTACGGTGAGCCGCACAGGTAAGAACGTGTTGCCAGATCGCCGTCAACCAGCGAGGTCATGCACTTAATTAACTAACTTAATCAACTAAGAAACAAAACGACACAAATAACAAATTCGACGGGAGAGTATGTAATTTTTAATCTAACAAACTATTTACAAGGATTGAGTTCTGGTGAGCGCCGAACAGAAAACAAGAAAAGAATGTGGAAACCTACAATCTCGGAAAGTCAGGAAGAAATTCTAGTACACTGCAAAGTAAGTATATTTTTATCCTATTCGTTTCTGAACATCCACAATTTAAAAAAAAACCGGTTTTTCACGATTTGTAATTTACTTTAGGTATCTGGAGATATTGAAAAAATATGTCAGGACAAACAAAATAAAATGCTTCAAATGAACCTTACGATGCAACCTTTTATAATCGTCGTTGGACCAGAAATAACCGCAATCGAAAATGTATACATCCGACTCGATAAAACATTGTATTCTATGCCGACGGTATTAAAAGCATTGGATGTACTCTTCAAGATTTTTGCAACATTTAATGCATGTTATCCCAAAGAATGTGAAAATATATGGTACTTAATTCAGTGGAGAATTTATGAGATTCACACGATTTGGGACGAGAACATTTCTTTTCTGTGTAGTGCATTAAATAAAATAAAAAGAGGTTAGTGTTCTTCATTACATATATATCTGAAAATTTGTATATATATTATTGTATATATTAGGTCTACCGGAAAGTTCTGTCCGTTTTTGGAATAAAACAAAATACAAATTTTTATTACATTTTGGCATATAATTGAGGAATTGAAATATTTAAATAATAAAGGAATTGTTATTCGTGATGCAAACGGTTCTGAACATATTGTAGTAGATAGTGGGCACTATGGGGCGTCAAAACAAACCCCCACTCCTCAGCTACTGGCGCCGACCCCCTGCTGTGACTGTCTGGGGCCCTCCCCCCTAAAGGTGTCTGTGGAAAAAAAGAATGGAGGGGACTCGTGGACGTCCACGAGACAATTTTCCCTTTAAATTTTTTAAATTTAAAAAATTGTTTACCCTTTAAATTTATTTCCTTTTAAATTTTTTTTTTTATTTTTTCCGGTCGCGTGAACATGCTTGGGCTCGAACCTGGGTCCTCCACCTCTCCAAACAGGGTCCTAGTATGCTGGGCTAGCTGAAAACTTATTAGAATAGAAGTTAAACGTAGTATTCAAGTAGCTTGAGTACTAACGTTTGTATTGCCGTAGGCGATATTATTTGCTCGATCAACCAATATTTTAATTTATATACGTTGCGTAATGCGCAATGAAAGATTGCGAATTTTTGAAATCGGTGGTAACCACAATAACGTCCGCGCACTTCTCCCTCTGACAGATT